CTGTATTGACGCTTTGCCTGTTTGATGGTTCGTCTGAGGGCATGGCGGAATTTCTTAGTGGTTGAAAATGTCAGTGAAGACACTTGCCAGTTGGTCCGCGCATGCTCGGAGTACACGTCCTGGTAATCCGTCTGACCCTGCGGCCTTGTGAATGTTGACCTGCTTAAAATATAGTATTATGGTCAGATTTTCCAAATGGAAGGCGAGGGAGAGCTTTGTATGCGTCTCTGTGTGTAGAGTAATGGTGGTCTAGAGTATTTTTTCTTCTGGTTGCACATGTGACATGCTTTAGGAATTAGGAAAAAGTGATTTAAATTTGCATGCATTAAAGTCCCCGGCCACTAGGAGTGCCACTTCTGGATGAGCATTTTCTTGTTTGCTTATGGCCTTATACAGCTCGTTGAGTGCGGTCTTAGTGCCAGCGTTGGTTTGTGGTGGTAAATAGACGAAAAATATAGATGAAAACTCTCTCGGTAGATAGTGTGGTCTACAGCAATGCATCGAGACTACTTTAATAATAGACATCGCGGACCAGCTGTTATTTACAAATAGACACACACACCCACCCCTCGTCTTACAGGACGTAGCAGTTCTGTCCTGCCAATGCGCAGAAAACTCAGCCAACTGCATATTATCTGTGTCGTCGTTCAGCCACGACTCAGTGAAACATAAGATATTACCATTTTTTATGTCCCGTTTGTAGGATAGTCTCGAACGGAGCTCATCCAGTTTATTCTCCAGTGATTGCACATTGGCCAATAGAACGTAAAGGCGGGTTACCCACTCGCCGACTAATTCTCACAAGGCACCCTGATCTCCGCCCCCTGTATTGGTGAAGGCACCCTGATCTCCGCCCCCTGTATTTCCTTATTTTCTTCATTGGAATGACAGGGATTTGGGGCTTGTCTGGGAGCAACATTATATATTCTGAGTCAGACTCATTAACGACCAATCACAGTGTGACACTTACCGTCCAGGTGACCTGAATGGTGGTGGGGCTCAGAACGACCGGGTTGTGAAGACGAACTATGACCTCCCCCAGCTCCTTCTGCACATGTCTGTGGTCCACCCCCTGGGCTGGAGGACTGATGTCTGTAGAGAGAGAGAGAGAGAGAGAGAGTAGAGAGAGAGAGAGAGAGAGAGAGAGACGAGATAGGAGAGAGAGAGACGAGAGAAGAGCATCAGATAGAGAGAGAGTATAGAGAGATAGCAGTATCGATCCGAGCGGGCGCATCGTACTCTAAGTCATCGCTCTATCTCGCGCCTATCTCGCGTCCCTATCGATCCTACGATCGCATCGCGCGCTTCCCGCTCTCTCGATCTCTCTCTCGCTCAGATCTCTCTAGAGATCCGAGAGACGAGATGAGAGACTTACTTTTCAGTTCTCCTACTCAGTTTTCAAAGCCACGGTTCCCTCCATTCCTTACAATGAGGCCGATGTCCATCATAAGAGGTTTTGTTGAGAGAATGGATGAATAGACCAATCAGACTCCACAAAGGAGTCGACACTGTGATCATGACTTCACTTGAAAAGAAGCAACTTCATCTGCATTATAATGACCTCATTTCAGTTTGAATAAAGACCTTGTCTGGGTTTGAGAAAAGAAAGAGAGAACTTGAGCTGTTAAGAACCCTTCTCCTCTCTGCTCTTACTGAGGCCCAGCCAGAGAACAACTACCACATCAGTAAGTGAACTCTGAACACATAACCCAGAGAAGATGAATGAATGACACTATGACACTATTTTCCACACAGTTCCCATTTCATTCACACTTGCATGTGTTTTCAGTTAAAAGCTAATCAAAACCCCAGTGAAATGCATGAGATTCTCAGTGTGGTTAAAGAAAAGACACAATCATGGCAACTGACATATTTTGGTCCTATTTACTGAGGGGAAATAGATGGGCAAACACAAAAAATGATTCACAAGAGGAAATAGTATTTCAAAACAGGCCCAATGAAAGCCAATAAAGTCATGAATCATAGAGTCGTAATAGAGGACGACAGGCCAAATGCAGTTAAGGAGACATAAAAAATCAATTCATCTTCAGTGACTGCCATTGTCAATAACCATCTCTGTGCATCAAAGTGAAGCCAACAGCAAATAAAGAGAGATGTACTGCTATTCAAATTGACTCCCTCTCCCTATACACAAACCAATATTGGCCTGCAATTGAACAATGTTTAGCTGCAAGGTTGCAGGGGTATAGTGGTGGAGTGGACTTATCAAATAAACGTAATAAGGAGACTGAGGTCTATATGGCAGCTTCATCTAATCTTCTTTGAGTTTGGAGGCAGTCATTTTCTCCAGTTATGATCATTAACATAGCAGGGATAGGGCTAACACACTTAGACCTTCCAAAAGTAGACATGCTTATTTTACATAATTGTCCGACTGTAGCCTTAATGAGCAGAGCTGAGATGGAGAGTTTGACCTCTGGACGTTGTTGTGGTGGCTATCTCAGTAGAACCATTACTGTTCAGCGCACACAGTACCGTGCTGAGAGGGCCTGATAACTATCTAAGTGGAACGCGATGACCATTTCCCTATCGAAAGCTGCAGCAGTCACTGTGAAGGGGAGGCTAAATTAGAAATGTTATGATAGGGAAAATTATTACCAGAATCCTTACAGTTACTGTATGTATAAGGTCCACACACCACATCAGTCACTGGGTTCATCAATAAGTGCATCGACGACGTCGTCCCCACAGTGACCGTACGTACATATCCCAACCAGAAGCCATGGATTACAGGCAACATCTGCACTGAGCGAAAGGGTAGAGCTGTCGCTTTCAAGGAGCGGGACTCTAACCCGGACGCTTATAAGAAATCCCGCTATGCCCTCCGACGAACCATCAAACAGGCAAAGCGTCAATACAGGACTAAGATTGAATCGTACTACACCGGCTCCGACGATCATCGGATGTGGCAGGGCTTGCAAACTATTACGGAATGCAAAGGGAAGCACAGCCGCGAGCTGCCCAGTGAGACAAGCCTACCAGACGAGCTAAATTACTTCTATGCTCGCTTCGAGGCAAGCAACACCGAAGCATGCATGAGAGCATCAGCTGTTCCGAACAACTGTGTGATCACTCTCTCCGTCGCCGATGTGAGTAAGACCTTTAAACAGGTCAACATTCACAAGGCCGCAGGGCCAGACGGATTACCAGGACATGTACTCCGATCATCTGCTGACCAACTGGCATGTGTCTTCACTGACATTTTCAACCTGTCCCTGACTGAGTCTGTAATACCAACATGTTTCAAGCAGACCACCATATTCCCTGTGCCCAGGAACACTAAGGTAACCTGCCTAAATGACTACCGACCCGTAGCACTCACGTCTGTAGCCATGAAGTGCTTTGAAAGGCTGGTCATGGCTCATATCAACTCCATTATCCCAGAAACCCTAGACCCACTCCAATTTGCATACCTCCCCAACAGATCTCTATTGCACTCCACACTTCCCTTTTCCCACCTGGACAAAAGGAACACCTACGAGAGAATGCTATTAATAATAATAATAATATGCCAATTTTTTGGTGTATGGGTGGTCCCGGGGATCGAACCCACTACCTTGCCATTACAAGCGTCATGCTCTACCAGCTGAGCTACAGAGGACCACATTGACTACAACTCAGCATTCAACGCCACAGTGCCCTCAAAGGTCATCACTAAGCTAAAGACCCTAGGACTAAACACCTCCCTCTGCAACTGGATCCTGGACTTCCTGATGGGCTACCCCCAGGTGTTAAGGGTAGGTAACAACACATCTGCCACTCTGATGCTCAACATAGGGGCCCCTCAGGGGTGCGAGCTCAGTCCCTTCCTGTACTCCCTGTTCACCCATGACTGCATGGCCAAGCACGAATCCAACACCGTCATTAAGTTTGCCAATGACACAACAGTGGTAGGTCGGATCACCGACAACGATGAGACAGCCTATAGGGAGGAGGTCAGAGACCTGGCAGTGTGGTGTCAGGATAACAAGCTCTCCCTCAATGTGATCAAGACAAAGGAGATGATTGTGGACTACAGGAAATGGAGGACCGAGCACGCCCCCATTCTCATCGACGGGGCTGTAGTGGAGCAGGTTGAGGGCTTCAAGTTCCCTGGTGTCCACATCACCAACAAACTATCATGGTCCAAACCCACCAAGACAGTCGTGAAGAGGGCACGACAAAGCCTATTCCCCCCTCAGGAAACTGAAAAGATTTGGCATGGGTCCTCAGATCCTCAAACAGTTCTACAGCTGCAAGGCCCTACAGAGGGTAGTGCGTATGGCACAGTACATCACTCAGGACAAGCTTCCTGCCATCCAGGACCTCTATACCAGGCGGTGTCAGAGGGTAGTGCGTATGGCACAGTACATCACTCAGGACAAGCTTCCTGCCATCCAGGATCTCTATACCAGGCGGTGTCAGGGGAAGGCCCTAAAAATTGCCTAAGACTCCAGCCACCCTAGTCATAGACTGTTCTTTCTGCTACCCCACGGCAAGTGGTACCCGAGCTCCAAGTCTAGGTCCAGAAGGCTTCTTAACAGCTGCTACCCCCAAGCCATAAGATTCCTGAACAGCTAACCATGGCTACCCAGACTATTTGCATTGTACCCCCCCACCGCCCACTCACTCTTTTTATGCTGCTGCCACCCTCTGTTTATTATCTATGAATAGTCACTTTACTTCTACCCACATGTGCCCCCGCACATTGACTCTGTACCAGTACCCACTGTATATAGCCTCACTACTTTATTTTACTGCTGCTCTTTAATATTTTGTTATTTGTATAATATATATATATATATATTTTTTTTTTACTTAATACTTATTTTTTTCTTGTTGTTTAAAGGCTTGTAAGTAAGCATTTCACTGTAAGGTCTACACCTGTTGTATTCGGCGCATGTGACAAATACAATTTGATTTGATTTGATACCTTGTGTCCTGACGGGCTCTGACATGGGGCTGGGGTCACTGAGGCCCTGGGTGTTGACTGCCCGCACCATGAACAGGTAGATGGTGTTGGGGCGCAGGCCTTTGACCGTGTACTGCGTGGTCTTCACATGGTCCGCAACCGTCTGCCAACTGTTGCTCACCGACTGGCTGCAATGGGACAATGAAAAGGATATCACAAACGTGCTACCTCACCACAATAATTAATAAGCAATACAAAAGTCAAAAAGAGGAAATCATTCAGGTTCTTCATAACTAACCTGAAGGCTTCGATGACAAAAGAGGAGATGGGCGTGGCCCCAGCCAGGCCGGGTTGCCAGGACAACGAGACGCTGTTCTTGGTGACGTCAGTGACGTGGGGTTTGGAGGGAGGGCCAGGGAGCTCGTTGTCATCACGGTTCTTAATGACCATCACTCCAGCTTGGTCTGCAGGAGAAAGAGACCAGGAACTATTGTTAAATGGGAGGATGAAGAGGAATGGATAAAGAACTATTCCCAGGATGGAATATCTGTGGTCTAATTAGCATGTATCTGTGTTTACTACAAAACTAGGTGAAGACATGTTCACTGTGCCATACCTTTGACCTCTAGTAAGGCGCTCCATGATGTCTCGCCACTGGAGCTGGCAGCCACACAGGTGTAGATCCCAGAGTCAGAGAGCTAGGGTAGAATGGATAAACTCAGAACATCAAACACCTGACCACAGAACAACCCATTTAGAAACATTACATCAGGTGGTTCTTAAAAATGACTAGATATTAGTATTGATCTCCACAGCTGCTTAATCAGATGATTATTCATGGGTCTAGTGGTTGTTCTAAATGCACGTGAGGGGTCCATCCCTGGGATCACATCAGTGTGTCATTGTGAGTGGTTCAAAGTGCTGACGCTAATTTCCTAATGAATTCCATTTTCTCCTAACCCCCCTCCACCACTTTACCCCCCACCCCCCACCCCCTATCCCCCCTGTCCCCCCACCAACCCGCCAACCGCAACAAAGGCAGGCTAATTCATTTAGGGTGGGCCGTTGAAGCCCCCTGGACCGATGACAGCTGGCTTGTCTCTCCATCCCTCTCTCTCTAGAATGTTAGTTGTTTGTTGGTTTTTGTCTCTGCGACTTCCCTCCATTTATTAAATAAAATGTCAGTGGTCGGCAACTTTGTGAAGCGTAATGGTTATTCCACAGAGGCCTCGGAGTGGGGAAAGGAGGATGTGAGGATTTTTAATTCAATCTACCCTAAATGTGCATGTGTGTGTGTGTGTGTGTGTGTGTGTGTGTGTGTGTGTGTGTGTGTGTGTGTGTGTGTGTGTGTCTGTTGTTTAACTGTTCACCCCTCCTCTACTCTGCAGCTGGAAGCCGTCCAGCCCTCTACAGCGGAGTCTTGTAAGAGCCATCGTGTCACTAACTGATAGTATCAAACAATTTATTAAAATCAATACTGCCCATTCATCTCTTTAAAGCAATATGACTCCTCACATCATGCTCATGCATGCCTAAGCATGTGACACACACAGAGGGGAGAGAGAGGAGACAGAGTCCCAGACAGAGATCCATTAAGGGGAATGGATGGAAACAGGGAGATAGAGAACCAGGGGCTGCAGACAAGGTTACCACAATAGTACGTAGCATATTTACAGCCCACATCATATAAACACCATTACTAGTGTATGTGTAGTTCTCTTTATGACTGGACCAGGCTGTGGTTCCAGTGGTTCTCACCCTGAGGCTCCTGATCTGGAGGCTTCCCAGCTCCTGCAGGGACATGCGGGGGTCCTTCCCCAGCAGACTGACCCCATCCTTCAGCCAGCTGATGGAGGGGATAGGGTCTCCTGACGCCTGGCACTTCAGCAGGGCCACGCTATCCACCCCCAGCGTCTGATTGGACGGGCCCTGACGGATTATGGGCGGCGGCCTGTCTGTCAGCACTGGGATAGGATGAGAGACAGAGCGAGAATTTGTCAGAAGAGCCACACAATGCATTACACTAGTAAAAGGGGTATGATATAGATGGAACCTTCAATATACATATGTAGGATCTTAATTTGAGCCAGTTTGCTACAGCAGGAAAAATATTCTGCAGCAACAGATAATGTGAATTATTATGTGGATTATAAAATGTTTGTAGGGGTTTTTCCACAAGCAAAAATAAAGTCTGACATTTCAAAGTGGAAATTACAAATTCCGAATCCTTTTTAAACCTCAAAAACACTACAAGTTAAACATGTCTTGCACAGGAAAGTTATCCTCAACAGGGTGATCAAATTAAGATCCTACATCTGCAAGCCTTTTAATGGATTTATCATAAAGTGAAAGGATGTGGTAACGGTATCATAAAGCTGGTCTTTCTCAGCAGGTCTTGTAATTCCACCACAGGACAATGACGACGCCCTGACTGTGCTTCCAGGAAGCGGAGAAAGAATTGCTGAGTATTGTTTTCCAGACTGTCTATTGATGTGGCTGGAGGTGGGAGGGGGTTTCCAGTTACAGGCTAAATACCCTTAAATTGTACACCCTACCCAGGAGTCTGTGGTGGCATACAGTGGCAAGGGCACTGCCTGTTGACTCAGGGAGGTTCAGATAAATAATCCATCATGTTTAGTGGGGAACACTATCAGAGGTCCCACTAACACCCAGAACTGAAACAAACATTTCCCTCCCCAGAGAGTAGTACCCCACGGAAATTATCGAAATGAGTCAGAATTGCAATAATGTAACAAAAAAACTGTGAGGAAAATAAAATAAAATCATTTTTTTGCTTTGTTTATATCAATGCTAATGTTCAATGCTGTTTGGATGAAAATATGCACTTTTAATGTGTTGGAGAATGCCTGTGGGTTGTACTGTGAAATATTGTAAATGTCAGAGGTGCTGTATCTGTGAGTTACTGTTACAGTGCCCTGGCAGTTTCTATTTAAGCTGTGTTGAATAATGTGGAGTCCCCTGGCATCACACAGCACACATTAACTAACAGGTAGGGATTCATGATGTCAGACCTGCAGGGGCTAATTAGACAGTCAACCTCGCTAACCTTTCAACATATCATCACACCCTCTCTCTCTCTTCCTCTTTCTCTCTCTCTTTACTATCTCTTTCTTTCTCTTTCTCTCCTGCAGGGAAGTCAGAAGGAGGGACGGAAGAAACATACTTGCCTTGGTATGAGAGAACCATGGCATGATTATCTTTAGCTGAGAGAACCATGATTATCTTTAGCTGAGAGAACCATGAATATCTTTAGCTGAGAGAACCATGATTATCTTTAGCTGGCAGAACCATGACATGATTATCTTTAGCTGGCAGAACCATGATTATCTTTAGCAGTGAGAACCATGGCATGATTATATTTAGCTGGCAGAACCATTATTATCTTTAGCAGTGAGAACCATGGCATGATTATATTTAGCTGGCAGAACCATGATTATCTTTAGCAGTGAGAACCATGGCATGATTATATTTAGCTGGCAGAACCATGATTATTTTTAGCAGTGAGAACCATGACATGATTATATTTAGCTGAGAGAACCATGATTATCTTTAACTGAAAGAACCATGGCATGATTATCTTTAGCTGAGAAAACCATGGCATGATTATCTTTAGCTGAGAAAACCATGACATGATAATCTTTAACTGAGATAACCATGGCATGATTATATTTAACTGAGAGAACCATGGCATGATAATCTTTAACTGAGAGAACCATGGCATGATTATCTTTAACTGAGAGAACTATGGCATGATTATCTTTAACTGAGAGAACCATGGCATGATTATCTTTAGCTGAGAGAACCATGATTATCTTTAGCTGACAGAACCATGGCATGATTATCTTTAGCTGAGAGAACCATGGTATGAAGGTGAATCTACACCATATGGTCCCTGCTGAATTAATAATTTAATCTATTTCAGTGATAATATTCCCACCTCATCCACCACGCTGGAATGCTTTTATCAGAAAAGCTGGTGGTTAAATACATCAACCAGGTTTACCGTGAGCCTAACCCACACCCAGAGAGCATTAAAAACAGCCCTATCTGTCCATCTGAGGCCCTGTGTAGCTCAGTTGGTAGAGCATGGCGCTTGCAACGCCAGGGTTGTGGGTTCGTTTCCCACGGGGGGCCAGTAAAAAAAAATGTATGCACCCACTAACTGTAAGTCGCTCTGGATAAGAGCGTCTGCTAAATGACTAAAATGTAAATGTAAGGCCTCGCTGTTAGTTCTACCTTCCCCATTAACTCACTGAGGGAGTTATCTGCTTGTCACTGTTATCACTTGGCATGATTCTAATGGCCATATTTGGCTCAGATGGAGCCCTATGTATGCCAAGATCTTAGACTTAGACACTGAAACACACCTGGAAGGGTTCTGTTATATGTCTTAATGATCCCCTCTGCTCTGAGTAATGACTCCATTGCATTACATGTTAAGATATGACAGAAAATATGATAAAACCCTGGGTGAGTTTGGCTTGTCTGGTCCAGCAGGGAGGGAATGACGAGGATGGTGGATGGATCGCGTAATGAAGTGATGGAGGCTGGGGAGGAGAGGAGGAGAGGAGGGGGGCGGGGGGGCCTTGACTTTTTGCATCAGGAATTTATCATTACCGATCTCCTTGAACCCAGCGAGCTCTGCTGGCCCCGCAGGACACTGAATCACCTGCTCCCAGCAGCAGGATGTGACCATGACCTCGCCCCAGCCAGCCAGCCAGACAGCACTCCTCCTCCTCTCCTCCTCCTCTTCTCCTATCCTCCCTCGTCTCTGCCTAACACCCATCACCCTCACACGTTCCACATCTTACACAGTCCAGCCATACACTCCCTTACCTCCTTACACCTACACACAGGCATAGACAGACAGACACATTCACTACAATTTCAGCACCACACACCCTTAGAATAGAGGATGTGTGCATGCAGACTCAAGGACGAGTGTTTAAGTGTGTCCCAACAGACAGTTCATACACAGTAAATCTTAAACACTGGAACATGAGATGAGTCATGTGTCCTAAGGTTATGACGTCTAAAACCCTTGGCGTTTTTAGGGACATAAAAAAGCAGTTATACCAGGAAACATGGTAATTTTGAATTCAAATCTCCTTCTCTTACAAAATTTCCCCAGGCTGATCCATCACAAAGCATCTGATTGGCTGTCTATCTGTCTTCCCATCTCGACAGCAGAACAGATTAGAGGCAGTGGGACTGAGCAGGCCCTCATAAGTCATCCTGCAGACATGCTAACTGTTGTCACTCAATCACTCACTCACTCACTCACTCACTCTCACTCACTCACTCACTCACTCACTCACTCACTCACTCTCTCACTCACTCACTCACTCACTCACACAGTCCTTGACTCACTGCTTCGCTCAGACAGAAGCTGATGACCATTATACTGAGAGACTCAAGGGCAATGCTGTATTCCCTCTCCAGCTAAACTTTAACAAGTATTTCATTAAATTCTGTTGTGACCCCAAAAAATAAAACATGAAATATTGCAAAAGCAAGGTCATGGGCAAGTATAATTTGTAGATATTGCTCAGACAAAATACCTGCACATGGTAAAATGCTGTTTGTTTTACGCTACATTTTCACCAGTACTTTTGGGGATGGGGACGCTCAAGGCCAAAATCCACATTAGAGAGTCAACCGGGCAAGGCATGTGCTCTGATTAATTCACTACACATTAAATAATCTTTCCTCACTGCTAAATCATGTGTGTGTTATCTAGTTGGAGTACAGTGAAGGCTGTGTGTCAGATTGTGTATGTCTGTGTGTATTATGTGTCTGTACGAGTTTGTGTGTGTCTGCATTTATGTCTCTGTGTGTGTGTGTGTGTGTGTGTGTGTGTGTGCGTGGTGTGTGTGTGTGTGTGTGTGTGTGTGTGTGTGTGTGTGTGGTGTGTGTGCTGACAGCATAGCAGAGTGTGTATGCGTGCTGCATTACAGCGTGGCGCTGTAGCGTGTTGGCATTGGGGTGGGTATTCGGCAGGCCTCACCATCTGTGACCTCCAGTTGGGCCTTGGCGAGGATGCTGCCAGCCACGGTCAGGGCTTGGCAGATGTAGTAGCCTGCGTCTGCCCGCTGCACGGCCGAGATGGTCAGGTCTCCACTGGAGGACACACAGAAGCGACTGTTGGGCTGCTGGGGCTGGTTGGGAAACAGCAGGTTCTGCAGGAAGAGAGGAAGCAGACCAATTAGTAGAGGGACATGGACCCATTACAGCCAGGAACACATCCAACTGACACACACATTCACATAGCTTCATCACTCTGGCCTGGACACACACACACACGGACAGTTAAAATATCCATTCCATTCATCACCAGGTTAATGAATTACACACAACTGTCACATCTGATGGCGTGGTTACACATAATGGCCAGCATGTATTCCCCCAGACAGCCATGCCAGAGGCTCCAGAGAGCTGGGAGGGAATCCAGTCTGAGCCTCTCTCTCTACTCCTGGTCTGGCTTTGATAGCTTGTTTCATTTGATAGCTTTGCTTCTCATAATTGGTCTGGGGCTGCTTTGTTTACACACAGTCTCCCCCGGTCCCCCCCTCAGTCCCAGGCCCACAGCCCCATCCCCAGCCCACAGCCCACCCCATGGAGTTTCCGGCTCTATTGAATGTGTCCATAGCAGAGCCAGAGGAAGGGAGGGCGGCAGGTCTGATTCATTGAAAATGTCAGATTTGCTGGTGGTTTACTAAATCCAAGATATTTAGTGCTGAACAGTAGCGCTATAATGTCCTGCAGGAGGAGTGTTGACATTGGCTGAGACCTCACCTCTACCTCTCTATGGTATCCTTCAGCTACCTCACCTCAACCTCTCTATGGTATCCTTCAGCTACCTCCCCTCTACCTCCTTCAGCTACCTCACCTCTACCTCTTTATAGTATCGTTCAGCTACCTCACATCAACCCCTCTATGGTATACTTCAGCTACCTCCCCTCTACCTCCTTCAGCAACCTCACCTCTACCTCTCTATAGTATCCTTCAGCTACCTCACCTCTTCCTCTCTATGGTATCCTTCAGCTACTGCACCTCTACCTCTCTATAGTATCCTTCAGCTACCTCACCTCTACCTCCTTCAGCTACCTCACCTGTACCTCTTTCAGCTACCTCACCTCTACATCTCTATAGTATCCCTCAGCTACATCACCTCTATCTCTCTATGGTATCCTTCAGCTACCTCACCTCTACCTCTCTATAGTATCCTTGAGCTACATAACCTCTACCTCCTTTAGCTACCTCACCTCTACCTCTCTATGGTATCCTTCAGCTACCTCACCTCTACCTCTCTATGGTATCATTCAGCTACCTCACCTCTACCTCTCTATAGTATCCTTCAGCTACCTCACCTCTACCTCCTTCAGCTACATCACCTCTACCTCCTTCAGCTATCTCACCTCTACCTGTCTATGGTATCCTTCAGTTACCTCACCTCTACATCTCTATGGTATCCTTCAGCTACCTCACCTCTACCTCCTTCAGCTACCTCACCTCTCCCTCTCTATAGTATCATTCAGCTACCTCACCTCTACCTCTCTATAGTATCCCTCAGCTACATCACCTCTATCTCTCTATGGTATCCTTCAGCTACCTCACCTCTACCTCTCTATAGTATCATTGAACTACCTAACCTCTACCTCCTTTAGCTACCTCACATCTACCTCCTTCAGCTACCTCACCTCTATCTCTCTATGGTATCCTTCATCTACCTCACCTCTACCTCTCTATGGTATCCTTCAGCTACCTCACCTCTACCTCCATATAGTATCCTTCAGCTACCTAACCTCTACCTCCTTCAGCTACCTCACCTCTACCTCCTTCAGCTACCTCACCTCTACCTCTCTATGGTATCATTCAGCTACCTCACCTCTACCTCTCTATAGTATCCTTCAGCTACCTCACCTCTACATCCTTCAGCTACATCACCTTCTACCTCCTTCAGCTACCTCACCTCTACCTCTCTATGGTATCCTTCAGCTACTGCACACTCTACCTCTCTATGGATCATTAGCACCTTCACTCTACCTCTCTATAGTATCCTTCTAGGACATCACCTTCACCGTCCTACATGTACCATCTTCAGCCTTACCCGCTCTAGTTCCAGTCTACTACTCATCCTTACCATCCCTAGCTACCTCACCTCTCCATTTCTTGCTACCCTCCACCTCTAATCTAATGATCCCTCATACTACAAGCACTCATCTCCTATTATCGGACTCTAGAGCTACCTCACGTCTTACCGCTCATCGTACATGTCGCTACCTCCTCATGTTATCACTCGTCTCATGTATGCCGTCAGTTACCTCCCTTCACATCTCTACGTCTATCCTTTCATTGTCTACCTCCACCCCTCTACCTCTCTCCCCTTCCACGCTACCATCACCTGTTCTCTCCCCTCTATATTTCCTTCACTACCTCCCTCTCCCTCTCTCTTTATCCTTACTCTCTTCCCATCCAATAAGCCCTTAATTGAATTGAATTGAATGAATTGAGAGAGAGAGAGAGAAGAGAGCAGAGGAGAGAGGCATATAGATCAGATACGAGAGCATAGAGGATAGACAGGCGAAGATAGATCTGATGACTTCACAGCTCGAGAGAGATGAGATTAGGGGGACAATCATAGAGAGAGAGTGGCGATGCGGATAGAAAAGGTAAGAAGCATCAATAAACCAAGAGGCAGAGAGAGGGAACATAGTGTTTTTACTTGGCTATTGTGAAATCAATGTAAATGACTTGGGGCACAGTCACAGTACATGGGGGTCTATTTACTGAGAGGATACTGGTGTAAATGAATGCTGATCTGTGTATGTACATGCTCAGTACGCCCTGTTGCAGTGAGTCAGATAGGATTCATCACTTACCTTTGATGTGAGAATGGGCTGAGAATAGGCTTGTTCAGTGCCTGTGTGTTCAGTATCAGTGTGTGTGTGTTGCATGCAAATGTGCATTTCACTCCTTCCCAATCTCTAAGTGGCACTTTGCTGTAATTGTATGGCCCCAGACTCAGTGTGTGTGTGAGTGTGTGTGTGGTGTGTGTGTGTGTGTGTGTGACTCCCAGCCAGAGCTGAATCATATCTCTGGCTCATCTACAGGTCCTGGCTGGCTCCTAATTACTGCTGTTGTTGTTGTGTGGACTGGGAGGACCTACAGGTATGTGAATGGGCTATCCGCTCTGCTCTGTGTGAGGGATAGGATCACTGTTATCAGCACAGTGTCATGGGAACTGATTAGCTCCTCACCGGCCACACAAATGTGTATCTGGTGTGTTGTGTGTGTGCCAGAGATACTGATGGGAGATAGCATAGTTTGCTCTATGTGTGTGTGTGTGTGTACGCACGTGTGTGTGTAGAACTGGGGAGCTGAGTGTCACACAGACTAACATCCTAGACACAGCAGGGTCCTCCCCACACAGCCAAGGGCATGGTTACTATCCAATCTAAGTAGTGTGTATGCTGACAACACTAGACAGTACAGTTACACAGTAATAACTGCTACTCATAAATAATGATTGGTGGACACACAATGGATGTACAAACACTGAACATTCTAGTAAATACAGAGATATGAAGACTGGACCAAGCTGTTTTACAGGCCCTTACAGTATAGGACCAGTAGTTGAAGACTGGACCAAGCTGTTTTACAGTTCTTTATAGTATAGGACCAGTAGTTGAAGACTGGACCAAGCTGTGTTACAGTTCTTTACAGTATAGGATCAGTAGGTGAAGACTGGACCAAGCTGTTTTACAGTTCTTTATAGTACAGGACCAGTAGTTGAAGACTGGACCAAGTTGTTTTACAGGTCTTTACAGTATAGGACCAGTAGTTGAAGAATGGAACAAGCTGTTTTACAGTTCTTTACAGTACAAGACCAGTAGGTGAAGACTGGATCAAGCAGTTTTACAGTTCTTTACAGTATAGGACCAGTAGTTGAAGACTGGACCAAGCTGTTTTACAGTTCTTTATAGTATAGGACCAGTAGTTGAAGACTGGACCAAGTTGTTTTACAGGCCAGTAGTTTCTCCTGACCATGTTCTTCCTGGTCAGGTCGGGGTGTTCAGGAAAAGCTCCAGGCCCTGCTATGGGTCATTGAGATGTGTTTACGTGCTCTTCTTACCTGGCTGCCCTCCTTCTGCCAGAAGACTGCAGGCTGGGGGTTGCCCTTGGTCTCACAGGGGAAGGTGGCGGTGCGACCCTGGGCCACAATCTGGTCCCGTGGCCTGATGACGAACTGGGGTGCAGCTGGGGTCAAAGGGCAGAAACACCAGGGTTAGAACTCAGTGGTGAAGCATGGGGCACAATCAAGGGGTTTGGGGTGTTCAAGCAAAAGAACAGTCAGGCACCACAAGGACAAATCAAAATGGGCATGTCCTACACTATTAGAAAAAAGGGTTCCAAAGGGGCTCTTTGGCTGTTCCCATAGGAGAACCCTTCCAGGTAGAACTCTTTTGGGTTCCCTGTAGAACCCTATGTGGAAAGGGTTCTACATGGAACCCAAAAGGATTCTACCTGGAACCAAAGGGTTTCTACCTGGAACCAAAAAGGGTTCTTCAAAGGGTTATCCTACGGGGACAGCCGAAGAACACTTTTATAGAGCTTCCATGCAGCGTGTTCCGTCCATTGATTCTGATTGGAGGACAAACACCAAGGACTGTCACGATAACGCCATGGTAACCACTCAAGGCCATTCATCCAGGATGAAGCTGAATGAATGACGGTCGTCAGTGTTCACAAACAGCAGCAGTGTCTCAGTCACAATGGCATCAGGAGAGTTAGTTAGACATAATGTAGCTAGGCTACACAGAAAAAAAGATACAGAGAAAACCTTGTGAGGATAGAATGAAAAAAATGAACAGAACCCAGTTTCTGTCTCATGGGTCCCTCAGGGGGAGGACACAGGCCTTACACCCTCTTAACCCCTCTCTCACCCACCACTCAAGCACTACACTCTCTCTCACTCCCACCACTCACCACCCCAGGAAAATTACCTTTATTACTCAACTGGACTCTCCAGAAGCCAATTAAACAACTAAGGAGTGGGTCCGTGATGGCAGACCGAGCAGGCACACTCAAGGAGCCAGCAGAGAGATATTACATCTGGGATGTTTCATTCCACTCTCACTGTTTCCCTGCTCATCTTAATGTGTTGTAATGCAACATATACAAATGTGTCCTCGCCAAACTTTAGCACACTTAGCAAATCCCCGAGACACATCCACTCTCTCCTACACAAATAAAGAACTAGAGGAGTGATTCATTGGGATACAGTGCAGTGTGTTCCAGGATACACACTGACATACTGTATAAAGGGTCGGCTTTTCTCTCTGTCTTCTGGTAGTCATTAAAGGCTCAATGAGGCATTGCTTTCTCATTATCTTGATCTTACACTTTAAGATGCCTTCATATAAGAGATTAAATTTCATGACAAACCATTCTCATTTAATGACAAAAGTGCAATGGCTGACCATAAGTCTTATCTGATGTTGGCTGTTGACCTCTGCTGGTTGGGTTTATCAGTGCTAACAGGTCTCTAGGCCCCACACTAGGTTGGCCTGTGATGGTGGTGAGATGTTAGCTCTTACACTCCTAAAACATTCAGAGAGGAAAGGCATCCCGCAGAGGAAATTCAAATCAACCAATTATAGACACCAATCCCAAACTTCAGTCAAGTATAACCCAGAGATAGCATCAGAAATCAAAGCTAGAAGCAAAACTTTTAGATCCTTTTAACAGTCAAACTTGTTCTCACTTTTCTTCAAGCGAGGATAAAGTCATTCATCACTTAGTAACTTTTGACAATGTTCAAATGAAATGAAAGAGAATACAGTTACTAGCTAACTACCGACCACAGACTACATCTCTGACAGACTAGACCACATTGTTGTTGCAGGTGACTTACAAATAAGTTTTCTACTGTTGTCTGAGAGTTCCCAAAGCAGGAGTGGCATCTGCAACTTAGTTAATATTTGGTATGGCGAGCCAGCAGAGGAAATAGCCAACAGATAAAAGAGAGATTTCTTAAAATGCATGATCACAAAGCTTTCAACAAGACCATATAACGCTGTTTCATATGACATCATTATATGAAAACACTGGACTTGTTGCTATAAAACACTGACAGGCTTTTATTCTGATTCCTGTGTAAGTCTTTCCACTGACAACACAGCTGGTTCCAGTCAGGGCAAATCTCATCCCGTTTGGCTCATTTCTCCATCTAATCCCTTCTTTGGGAAAGTGTATTTGTCAAAGATACACACAGCTAGGAATGCTACAGACGGCCATAGATGTACAGCCTTCCTGTTTGGCTCTCCTCAGTTTAGATAGCTTGCTGCATTTCACAACGTTGGTTCTGATACAGAGCACCTACATTTCAGTCTCTCTCTCCCTTAGTCTCTCTCTCCATCTCTTTCTCTCTCTGGCTGGCCAATCCAATGAGCAGTGCATTAAAGCAGAGCACTCACTCAAAGTGTTTTGACGATTTACAGGCTGTTCTCTATTACTGCCCTCACAGCTTGTCTCTCCTCTCTCTCTATCTTTTCTTTTATCACTCTCTCCTTGTCTCCCTCGTTCCCCCTCGTTCCCCCTCGATCTCTCACACATGCATCACCCACAACACAGAGCAATGTAGCATTGCTGTGTTTGTTAAGGAGCAGGAAAGCAAGCTGTGATAGCAGGTCAGATATGATGTGATGAGGTTGGGTTGGATTGGGGGGCCATCAAGTGATGCATATTTAAAGTCTGTAGTCGCCTAGCAATTGCGGGACAGGCACGACATCCCAGCAGTGAGTGTGAAGCCGTCTAACACACAGAGGCTGTTTGATACAGGGACCCTAAAGACTAGTGATAGCCTACTTCCTGTCCCCTCCGAGGGAGAATGATGATCAAACCCCCATATTTAATTCATGACAAGACACATCTGCCCCGGGTTGGAGGGGATTCAGCCATGAACAAATGAACAGACCGACGGACACAAGCATTGTTTTCTCATTTCTTTAAATCCCATTCAATCATATTTTATTCACATTTCAAAAGCAATTACTGTCTCGTTCTCATGGGCAGGCTGAATGTTTAATTTCCTAAAACTTCCTGCAGCTTGACAGTTCGTGGCAATCTGGGGACGGCCGCTGCTGTTTTGGCAATGAAGGTCCTGCCATTCCTCCAACGTCAGTCTTCCTTCTGCTAGACAAACTAGCCCTGACACGCACCCCTGCTCCTAACCTCTCCTCTCTCTGCCCTACCACTACACACACCTTCCCCTTTCTCTCCCTACACACAATTGTCTCTCTCTCTCCCATATCTCTTCCCAGATGTCAAAACCCAAACAGCTCAAACTGATACTTCTCACCATTTACTGTACTGGAAGCCATAACACTTCTAAGAGTTTCAAATTGCCCTGACTCCATGTCTCCTCCAGATCCATTTGTAAAGAAAATAGAACAGCAGCAATGACTGAGATGTCCTACTTTATTTCCCAGACCAAAGGAAGCAACTCTATCCAAGACATACAGATCCCATGTCTGTGTGCCAGTGCCAAGTACCGCAGATGGACTCAACACGTGGATGGTAAATGCCCTGGGTGCACTGGGCCCTGGGGGGACAACTAGGGGAAACTAGAGACAGCTATGGCTTAGACAGACACACTACAATACAGATACATCACCTAGGTACTCTAGACAGCTAGGGATTAGTTCATTACCAGGTTAGTAAGCAAGCGAGGCTGAAGCTGATGACTGTCCTAAATAGTCCCCTCTGTAACCATTTGAGATAAACACACAGGGTTTAACGGTAAAGGTGTGGTACATAGTGATACAACACCTGTGTTAGTTAGTACAGTAGGTTAAGGGTCGGTTGCACTCTGCAAGGCAGTGAGGTGCAGGTGTGTGTATGGAGAGAACATGCAGGATGGAGTGGGATCATCAGGATGGTACTTACCTACAGGGCGAGCTGGAAACAACAATGGAGAGGTGGAAAAACAAATAAGGAAGTCAAAAGATAAACATACAAACAAATCATATGAAATAAGAAAACAGAAATCAAAAAGTTGAATGAATGACATGTCGTGTTGGGGTACACCTTTCCAGCACAGGGTAAGCATGACAGATACGATACTATAGAAAGGGATTTTCCAATCCATTGTTATTTACTGCACACCGTGTACTATGTAAAAGAGCCTCTCACTCGAACTGTTAGGGATACCCAATCTGAATATAGCACCAACTTGTGGTGGAATGGATCAATGAATAGATCAATAGTATTTCTGGGCAATGCTCTGTTAACATTAACATATTCTTACTCAGAATATGGGGGCTCTGAAGTCTTCTTATTATTGGATCTCCTCTGTCTGCATTAATGAATTCTACAGCTCCTAGGGTGGTGTGTGTTTGGAACAGCAAGGCAGGGTGTGTGTTAATCATTGAGAGAAAGAGAGAGAGAGAGAACTAGAGAATAGAAAGAGATAAATCAAGATGCAGTCTTCATATTTAATTCAGGGCTACAGCTGTTGAGGACTAGCACCATATTGACATTAAGAATAGAAGAGCTAGTGGAGAGAGTCTCTCTCTCCTAGGCGTAACTCTCTCTCTCTCTCCCTCTCTCTTCGTCTAATTTTGTCTCCTCATCTTCGTCATCAGTCTCTCGTCCGTCTCTCGTCTCATCCTCGTCTCATCCTCCGCGTTCTTTCAGCTCTCTCTCATTCTCTCTCTCTCTCTCATCTCTCTCTCGTCCTCTCTCTAATCTCTTCCGCTTCTCATCCTCTCTCTCTCAATTCTTCTTCGTCTCTCTCTCTCTCCCTCTCTCTCTGCGTGCCTGTGGAATACCTCTACCTGTACATAATGTATTCTACACTCAGCCCACTGAGCAGGGCTCAGAGACCAGGTTTCATATACATCCACTAGTCAAAAATAATGAACATTGAAGTCAACCCCACAGGTTGAGACAGAGAGACCGAGAGACCGAGAGACAGAGAGACAGAGAGACAGAGAGAGAGAGAGAGAGAGAGAGAGAGAGAGAGAGAGAGAGAGAGAGAGAGAGAACCAAATCATGAGAAATCAAAAAGATAATTACTTATGGTGAAAATGTTTTTATTAACCTTGCCCACATACAGTGCAGTGGTGTGGTGTAGACCAGTTAACTGTGGAATGGCTTCAGTGACTGGGGGGATAACATGGATAGCAGACCACCATGGGGGAGGTGTGTGTGTGTATGGTGTTCTCCGTTTGGAGTGTGTGTAAATAATTAAATGAATTCATAGACAGACCATGTCTTTCTTGGCTGTGGCAGTCAGCACTATTTGAAGGAAATACTATTTGTGGAGACACTGTTCCATAGTAGACCAACCATACTACTAGTCATACTACTACTAATCAAGAACCTAAAATGTATGTCTGTTTCTATGGAGAGTGAAATTGAGCTCTTACATCCCCATTTCTGATAAACTAAAACAATTGTAAGATGCCAAGCTGTTCTGACTGGCATTCTGAACTTACTCAGGGTTATAGGATAAAAGAAGGAAATAATTGAGTGCCAGTGGGCAGCCCTTACTCACCTCTGACGGTGAGGCTGGCAGAGGCCTCCACCTTGCCCACGCGGTTCTCTGCCAGGCAGGTGAAGGTGCCCTCATCACTGGCCGATGCCTTCTTCACTCTCAGCAGGTAGTCCTCCTTGTCATACTTAATCTCGTACCTGAGAAAACACACACAACATTGTCAGATTAAATGTTTTCTGTTGAGACTTTTTTGTTTTGTCCAAAGCTAATACACAGTGTAGAGTGAACCCATCAGTTAAAGCCTTGTGGAGCTTATTATGACAAGCTGACTAAATGTGACGTTTTCCTTCACCACCATCTCTGAGAGAACGTATACACAGCATTCCCCTCCTGGAGAGGAAAGTGTATTTAGAAACAGCACTGTTCATTGTCACCACAGACAATAAGGAAGGAAGAAGGATGATTAAACAAGGATACACAGTACAGAGAGAGGGCTGCTTTCAACTGGAAACCCAACACCACTTCCATATTTATGATGGTGTGTATGTGCGTTTATGGGGTGCTGGTGCCATCCCATTAAAAAAAGAAAACACTGCCTACATTTATTTTGTGATGAAGAGTTCAGGCTGTCCTCTGATTCCAAACCTCTGCTGTGGTCTGAGATGTTTGACAGGCTGAGATGAGAGGTGGTGTGTGTGTGTGTGTGTGTGTGTGTGTGTGTGTGTGTGAGAGGGGTTGGGGGTTGTGGGGGTGGTATGGTAGTTGACAAGAAAAGGATGCTGGTTTGATTTGTTGCCCCGGTCTGTAATTGGAAAGGGGGTTAGCATGGCAATGTGAGTGTTGTGTTGAGTTGAGTTGGCGGGGACTAGGTGGGGTGGGGTTTGGGGATGTGTGAAGGCTGTCTGACAGCCAGAAAACAGTCTGCACCCAGTCTGTCAGTGAGAGCGCTGAAGAGACAAAGCATCAAGCCATACTAGCTTCCTACCAACATTTTCCCACTAAAATCTGAATCCTGTCTACTTTTAAGCTCAATATCTCCATACTGTATCTACCTGAGAACAGGTGTACTGATGGCCGCCTTTCACCAGCAGCTGCTAAACTAATTATCTCTCTCTCTCCTCTCTCTCTCTCCTCTCTCTCTCTCTCTCTCTCTCTCCCTCCCTCCCTCCCTCCCTCCCTCCCTCCCTCCCCCCTTCCTGTTATGACATTTCCTGAGCAAATGTTTCAAAGGCAGCTTTATTGAAGTGCATTCCTCCGCCCTGACTGCCAGCTCTACCTATCACATTGGCCCTTAAAAAAAACATAATGATCATTTGACTGAGTCATGACTAAATGCTTTGTTTTGCAGAGAGACACGAGAGTCCGGGCAGAGCAGGTTGTGTGCAGGTAGGGAGGCAAATAAAGCTGTTATTGTTTGAATAGTGAGAGTGGCATCCAAAGGAATGACACAGCACCACTGTAGACAACCATGACTGATGGAAAACAAACAACCTAATAGAGACAAGAGAGTCTTTCTCCTACACTGCCTCGGGCTGAGACAGAACGACAAGACTGTAACATCACATGAACTCTTGACTGAGGAACGGGGGCGGGTGGAAGAGACAGAAGACAAGAGGGGGTTTAGGGAGGACGCAGGAAGGGCACCGATGCCCATTGTGATTGTTGGTATGAATGAAAACAGCCATACTGTTTTGATATTCCCCCACACACAGCCATCCATGCATGGACACACTCAGCAAGCAGGGAACATAATGACCATACTAAACAACATCATACAACATGTGTTTTGTTCGGGTTTTTTCCAACTATCAATCTATCAAAATGCACCCCAGGCTAGTGGATAATGTATTTAGAGGGAAACATGACTCAATCAATCTGTCATCCTAGAACAAATCAGCTGAGATTACAGGAACACTGGAAACGCTGGTGGATAAAACACACACACACACACACACACACACACACAACACACACACACACACACACACACACCACACACACACGCACACACAACACAACAACACACAACACACCAAACCACACAACAACACACACGCACAACACACACACACAAACATACACACCAACACACACACACACACACCACAACACACCACACCGACACACACACACACACACACACACACACACACACCCCGCACACAACACACACACACACACACACACACACACACACACTGAGAGAACACACACACTGAGAGAGAGGGGGAAAGAGTAGCTCTTCCTTGTAGCTGGCTTGGGCTAGAGCCGTGTTCTCTATTAGATTAGGTATGTAATTACACATGGAATATGGAAAGGCTGTGGAGAGGAGAGCAGAGCCAAGTTCACCCTGCTGCCTGGCCCCTCCCTCGCTCTGAACTACAGAACACACAGAAATAAAAACACACTCACAGTGAAATACACACTGTACAGTAGACCATATCATACATTACCATGCACAGCCATACACAAAGTTACTAGCTTTTATATGCAGACAGATGTGGAGTGATGGGAATGTAAACACATGCCAAGACAAGGCAGCATTTTTCTGGTTTGTTAACTTGATATACAGGGCTGGGCCCACAGAGTTGAAATGTTTGATACACAGGGCAGGGCCCACAGAGTTAAGACTATAATGAGCACTGGACTGTGGAAGAACTCTGGCTCCCAAACTGTAACTGTGCTGCTGCTGAAGATGTGGGTTTCTACAGTGCTACAGTAGTTCTATATCACACATGGAACTGAAGTGGCTTAAGGGACAGCAGGGACTCGAAGATCTCTCAAACACACTCATCTGTGTGTCACCTGAAGTGTCCTGGTTGTCTCACTGTGAGAGCTTCTTATCACCTGTGAGTGTGTGTATGTGCATGTGTGTGTGTGTGATCATGTGTATGTGTGGTGTCGTACTGAGTGACTCTGTCCTTATCTGTCCTAGTGTGTGTGTGTGTGGTGAGGTGCTGTACAGTAACATGAATGAGTCAGTCTTCCAGGTTTCAGGTATTGGACTGAGGCCAGCTCTCTCCTCTCCTCTCCCTCCTCCTCTCCTCCCCTCCTCTCCTCTCGCTCTCCTCTCCTCTCCTCTCCTCTCCTCCTCTCTCCTCTCCTCTCCTCTCCTCTCCTCTCCTCTCCTCTCCTCTCCTCTCCTCTCCTCTCCTCTCCTCTCCTCTCCTTACCTGACTCTGACTCTGTGGCTGTAGCTCCGAGACAAAGTCCCCTCTCTTCTCTGCTCTGCTCTGATAGACAGGGCAGAGTGATCCTGTTTCACAAACTCTGACTGACACTCTACCTGAGCCTGATCCAAGCAGCCAGGCTAACCTGTCGAGAGCTTGTCAACCGCGGGACGGAATCAATTAACCAGCCTTATCACTTCTCACCTTCCCTCCGTAGTGCTCTAGGCCAGAACTTGACTCCCTTGCTCTCTCTCTCCACACTCCTTCACTCCTCTTCTCCCCTCACAGTGGTTGGCTTGTCCCGCAGCTATAGTCTGCTGTCTACCAACCACGCAGAGTGTGGTGCTATTACCCCTAGACACTGATCTAAGATCAGTTTTGTATTTTTCCCCTAATGGTTTAGGTTAAGGTTAGCTGATCCTAGTGTCCTAGTATATTGTTCTTGTCCTTTTCTTAAACATAATTTTAAAATGTGTGGATGATACTCCAACATATTTTCCCCTAGGGGACAATGAAGTCAGGAAAATTGGTCCATGCATCATCTACCCGGAGCGCTGACAGTGCCCATAGCACCATGGCAACCACAGCTAGGCATTTTAGAGTTTGTCAGAGTGGTTTGAACAGACGCTGAAAGTCTACAGGGAGATGTTGAAGATATAGCAGGAAAAACTCCACAGCAAAGAACCACTCACCGGCAGATGCCTGGCAGAGTGTGTGTGTGTTTGAGTGTGATCGACAAAGGGAACACGATATCCAATTGGTAGTTAGTCTTGTCCCATCACTGCAACTCCCCTATGGACTCGGGAGAGGCGAATGTTGAGAGCCATGCGTCCTCTGAAACATGACCCTGGCAAGCCGCACTACTTCTTGACACACTGCTCACTTAAACCGGAAGCCAGCCGCACCAATGTGTCGGAGGAAACACTGTCCAGCTGGCGACTGCAGTCAGCTTGCAGGTGACCGGCCCGCCACAAGGAGTCGCTAGAGTGCAATGGGACAAGGACATCCCATCTGGCCAACCCCTCCCCTAACCTAGACGACGCTGGGCCAATTGTGAGCCGCCTCATGGGTCTTCCGGTCACGGCCAGCTGTGACACAGCCTGGGATCGAACCCGGGTCTGTAGTGACGCCACAAGCACTGCGATGCAGTGCCTTAGACCGCTGTGCCACTCGGGAAGCCCCGTGTTCACATGTTCAAGCTTTTTTTCATCACATGAGAGGAAGGAGACAGGCGCCATTTGAAGATTTTCCCGTCAGAGATGAGGCTCAATTATCTATACACTTGGGACATTATGGATGACCTGTATCCTCTCCCTAATTAAAGACACTGTATAGTTCTCTGCTATTTTCTGCTACCGTATGTCTTTCATTTTCACTGTCTGACTTTATATTGTC